TCGACTTGTTCCCCTTGTAATAATCATATTTTCATATTAAAGGAATGAAAGAGTGATTATTTTAGAACTGGACCTTTTGTATTAAAATATGATAATAATAGATATAAATCCGCAACATGTCAATATTGCATAAAAGTTAAAACCAAGGAAAATATACATGAATATGCATGATTGGACAAGGAAAACATTATATAATGGTAATATGTGTACCACTATAATGATAGTTGCCATGTGTGTCGTATTAGAAATAGATGAAATCCTTAGCGTGAAATTTATGTGTGCGTACTCATATCATTTTTTGGTACGTTCCTTTTTTTCACGAAGACAATTCAATCGATATACTATGATCATTCCTAACGAAAAGGTAAGCCAAAAGATAGGAAGACACAGAAAGAAACAGACACCTTAGCATCGTGTAGAACAGTATTACACATTAGCAACAAAACAAAAAAAAAAATAAATGTAAAATCCTTAATATGTTAGGAAAACGAATTCACCAATGTTGTAATTGTAACATGTTATGCGACATATGTGCTGCAATCATCTTCTGCTATTTTGCAAAAGTTTGCCTAAGCGTCGACTACTCGTGTGACCAATTAGGTCCACGGTTCAGTTACCACGCACACACACAAATATGTCAACATAAAAAAATGAACGCACAACTATTAATATATCAACATTTTTATTTGATAAACTGTTGGAGGTTAGACGCCCTGTTCTTGTTTTTTTTGTCCCAAAGTATGGATTTGAGAAATTCATGAAAAAAGGGGGACATGTATCATTAAACGCATTTCAGCAAACAAAGTTTTATAGATCATTTTTTAACGGGTGAAGAAACAAACATATTATGTATTAAATGAATAATTGTTCAATCATCATTTCTATTGTTTTTTAAGGAAACACGACATTCGTCCTAACAGGAAAGAGGGACATATTGTCATACTCATAAATCCACGTGTGTGTTTGCATAAAATTGAAATGTATCTGAAATATGTTTTAGTTTTTCAACAAGTTACTGACCGCATTCATTTATTACGTTTCTTAAACATGTACAAATTATTATGTAACCAGGCAGCATATGCCTTTTGACAGCTTTGGGGGTACAGCATGAAATGCAATACGAGTGCCATATTATTGCCATGTGCATTCGTCTTCCATTTTTACGTATTCATGTTGTTTCAATTAACATGAATTAGAAAATAAAAAAATATAATTAAAATGGAAACTCAAATTTAAAAATTAACTACGTGACGTTGTGAACAACATAACACAAACAGGCGGGGGCCGGGAAGGCCGCGGGCGTGAAATATATAATACAACAAAATATCATAAAAAAAAAAATAAAGTGCTAATTGTGTTATTGGAACAATAAATATATAAAAAGAAAAATAAAAAATGCAAAAGAACAAATTAACCCCAACTTACATGTGCTTATTCTGTTGCACGAACACGTGTGTGCATGTATTATTCATTTCCGTTAATAGCAATTTTGTCGTGCGCGATATAACAATTTTTATAGTTATTCTTAGTGCAACAAACGCGATAATTAATAACTGGGTGATGGTCATTGCTTTGTCTTTTTTTTTGTTTCTTTACATTATATTGGTCATTGTTATATTTAATAACTATAGAAAGACATACGCCCCAAACAATTTATGTTTAAATTGCAACCAATTATTCAAAGTTATCTTAAATTTTAAAATAAAATTACAATTCAAGAATCTCTGACGCCTAAGCGCCCAAAAATATTTGTGAAACATCTTATTTTTAAAAAAAAAAAAAAAGAAAACAGAAAACATTAACAATATAATGCACAATATAAGTTTTGTCCGTATTTTCAATATTTGTTCATCATCACTTTATACAATGCACTACATATATATAAAAGGCTTATCCAACACCATATATTGTTAATTCTAAGTTTTTGTCAAATCCTCTGTTTTTTCTGTGTGATGCACACATGCCTCCAGGATGCTTTTGGTCATTTGAAGTATTTCGTGTATTGTTCCATAAGACAGTCCTGTAATCAATGTTCTCCTGTTTTGGGTTGGTTTTATGCTTGGCGAGAAATAATATAACGCAGTTGCATTACTGGGGGCAACATACGTGAACTATACACTTTAGTTATATACAAAATATAAGCAGTAACATTTTTATTGATAAAACACTTCTGCCTCGTCTTTCATGATATAATAAAAGAACAACAAAATGCAGGATCATAGGAAGAATCCAAATTTTCCTTTGTCAATAATATGTTCGTTAGGGAATATAACAACAACAAAGAGTACCTTTAAACAATTTTTCAAGGAGAAGGAAATAAAATTAAAAAGCAACAAATTTGCAACATACATATTTTTCAAGTCCGTTTTTATTGCATTAGTCTTGTCTTTGTATTGCCTTCTCCTACAAGTATGTAACTTTCTTTTAATGAGGAAACACGTACCCTTATTCATCCACGATATTATATCGGCTTCTTCATTTACTGTAAAATATACATATATGAGCAAATTATTGAAAGTCATCTTTTTCTTCTCTTTTGTTTTTTCTTTGTATACTACAATTTTTACAGAACATTAACACATCTACAGGACCTAAATATGCACATTCATACTTAAATAATAGACATTCGAGGATATTGTATCCAGACAATCCTCCATTTTTGAAAGCATTCCGAGCTAATAATGCTATCCAAGGACAAAAGAAGAATCCATTTCTACTTAATCATAATGATAATAATAGTTCATCTGGAAATGTAGATAACCAGAATGAAGACTTAAAAAAGAAGATCCCGAAAGATAACCAATTGAAAACCAATACGGGGAAGCAAGAAGAATATAATAAAAACGAAATCATGTTCCGTTGTGTAAACATTGGTAATTGCGATGATGTAACAGAAGACGAATTAAACGATAAGTTAAATAACATAAAGGGCGCGGTTAACAGCAGAACGATGCATCTCGTATGGAAATATGTACAAAATCATGAGAAGGTAAATTTTATTCGCATGCAACAAGAAATACAGAATTACTGTAAATTGTCAGCTAAATATTATAATATACCAGAAGAATTTGACACAAAAAAATGCAAACATGTAGATGATAAAATAACGAATGCACTACAAAAAAGAGAACGTTTTGATTTAAAAAATATAAATGAATTTGCTAAGGAGGACATTTGTGCAAGGTGGGAATTTCTGAGGTACATCAAATTGAAGAGAAGGTCATGGAAAGAACTTCGAGAATCCACACAGCAAAAGTGGGCAAACTATATAAATGATGTGTTCAAGAATTATAAATCTAAAAAGTCAATCACTGCATTTGATAAAGATAACAAAGGTTTCCGGTTTCGCCCCTGGATACCCAAGCACTGATCATCTTACTAGTGTACACGGATGGAAGCAAAAAGATCAACAAGTCGTATACATGCACTCCAATTGAAACGCGTTCGAAAATACCCCTACCTAGCGAAGACAAGGAATGGGAAAAAAAACAAAAACAATGTCAAATAGAAAAATACTTACAAGGATTAAGCACGTTGTTACTCAAAATTGGGTCCCAATCTCTACTTATAAGCTTATTAATTTTGGAGCCGCAGCAAATAATTTTAAAGGAAATACCCCAAACAGGTGTTAACATTTCAGTCATACTTGCTACATCCTGTACAGTAACGTAACAACAAAAAAAACATGTAATAATATAGAACAATTACGAATTACAGGGTAGTTCATAAAACACATAGCTACATGTATCTGAATATATGTATATATAGATTGGATCATATAGAAATAACTGCATAAATTCAAACGTTTTTACCAAAGGAAAATTTAAATTTTGGCGGCCCCTCTTATAATATCACTAATATGATAAATTTAAGCGACGTGAGTCGTTTTTAATTATTCACCCTGTAAACAAAGTTACAAAATTTAGGTCCTGCACGGACCAATTCTTCAAATATATTTTTCATTCTAAATTAAGTACCCGCTTTAATGTGGTACTCTTCACAAAAAAATATTATGCCGGCGGTTACTTTGTTCTAATTCGCGTCTTCCTTGTTTTACCATTTACACATTGCGAGAAATTTGGAAATGCACACGTTGCCTCATTTTTTTGTGTAGAATGTGTCTGCTGTATAATGGTATCCTCACATTTCGTCGCAACATGGATTACTCAGAGCATCAGCATCTTGCGTACCTTTTACGTAGAAGCATAATATACATTTATGTGAACATATATGCACTATTCCGCTTTCGCACAAAATCGTTGCTGCGGCATTTTCATTCTTCGGTTACACATAGCCCATTATGGTAAAGTTCAGCGCAATGCTTCTCACATTATTTAACTATAGGCCACATTACATCGCTCCGTATGCTATACTGCGTTCACCTTCATCGGAATTAGTACTCAAACTATTATAACTGCCAAATATTGAATCTCCCGCTACAGAATAATAACTATACTGAAGCTCCCGTCTTATTCGTTTCCGCCTTCGTGAGAACAGGTTCCCAAGTGGAGTGAACTGAAAAAAAAACAAAGGAACAATATAAGGTTAACTGAAACAGCGTGACATTACGTAGAATAACGTAAAAGGCATTAAAATTAAGCCCATTAACAAATGCTTTGATTATGTAATATCTGTGAAAAACATTTAGTACTATAAGCAGCGTTTTTTTGTTATTACCTTCATTAAAGCTGTTACAAGCATTGTGATGCTCAATGCAGAAAGAAGTGTAAACACACCAATTTTAATCCATGGAACTGGTTGTTCAGTTTTCAGCGTTTGAGAAATACCATCGTGACTATATAGTTTACTTGGAACTCCTGTGGGTTGTTCTGAGTGAGTTGGAATTGCTACATCGACAACTTCCACATTTTCTACAGGGAGCGGATTTTTTACTGTACCCCTCTGTGCTAATTTTTCAAACCTTTGTTCAGCTGCATCAATGAAAGGTTTAACGTACTTAGCATACTGTCCTATGAATTTTTGACGTGCGTTCTCATAATCATTGAACAAATGTACGATCTTATTATAACAAGGATACAACCAACTTAGACCATATATTGTTAATGCTTGACTTTTTGTAACGAGATGCTTTGGATCATAAAAGCTATAACCTAGAATATAATTTGTACATGTGTTACTTCCTTGCTTTCTACATAATGGTCCAAAGGCTAAATATAATGGAATTCTCTCCTTAAGATAATCGAAATACACTTCACATGCATAATATGTGCTTTTACCAATTTCTCCTTTAATGAAATAATAATCTTCAATATAATCCATAAAATTCTTCACCCTCTTCAAATATTCCAGGAAGTTATCCCTAAATAAGGTTGCATTGGGGAAACATACTTCTCTAGTATTTACATCATAACTATGATTAATAAACCTTTTCCACATTCCATCAAAGAGGTTCATTATATTCTGAAAATCATTCTCCTTGTCAGTGGACTGCAATTTTTTATGCACTTCATCATAGAGCCAATAATTTATATCAAAACAATGTTTCCTTCGAAAAGCATCGTCATTGTCATCTCGTACGAATTCTACATTTTTCATGAGTTGTCCGCAGAGTTCATAAAGCCCTGTTACATTAGGGTGTTGCTTTAATAGATCACCACAGAAATTATTGGAGTCCTCTAATATTTGCCCACTTGTCAATTTTTGGTAAAACTTATACGAAGGCAACTCTGTTAGTTTAGAATTCTATAAAATTAAAAAAGAATAAATTAATGTGTATACACAATTTTTCAAGAGCCTGTACTTAATTTTCTTGTGTGTGTAATGTTATTTACTAGTGAAAAACATATATCGATTATTGAAAAAATGTAAAAATTACTGTTACGGTTCCCTCCATATGTGTACGAACTTACGGTCCCTTGTACAATGCTTTATGACGAATTGGTGAAGTAGTAAAATTCACGTGTAAATAATTGGTCATATTCGGCGACACAAGGCGATCAAACAAGTAGGTGTAAGCATAAATGCACTTAATGTATATTATCGTTCAATGTTTTACGAAATTGTTCATTTGGGAATTCTTTAACTGTGTTTTTTTCCGGTACGTATATTTTAAAACAGAGCATCCATACCAATTTTACATAGTACCACCCATATGTTATGCTTAGGTACATGCGTAATGACAATTCATATTGGAAGAAACATAAGATTTGTCGTAAGAATAAAGGAATAGTCATTATTCTTACTAATTACGTAGTAAGTAATGAAATTTACCGTTCACAAATATTCGTACATATATAGGAACTGATTAATACTGTTCAAATTATTTATCTTTCTTTCCCATTTTTTTTTTTTTTTCATTTCTATTAATGTAGTTGCTTCTGTGAGCATCCCCTTTACAACAGATACATATAGAGCAGCGTATATATTTTTTTTTTCTATATCATTTAAACCAAAAATATTCCATCTTACGTGTTTCCTACATTGTATATGTATATTATATATTTAAATACGTAAACGTATGTTAATTGTATTATGATGAATAACCGTGTTAATCTAAATACGAATTGTGGAGGTAATTTTAAGGAGGCTAAAATAATTAATACCTCATGGCGTTCCCATGGGTAGTATATATATGGTGGTACATTTTTTCTGGGCTTATCACAAAAGTGTGAACAAGTGTCGTATCCATAGAGCCATACATTTATTATGAGGTTCTTATGCTTCCTATCGATGATATAAAAATATAATAGTGCACAAACGTTTACGTGGTTTAATTTAAAATTTGCATTTTGCACAAATAAAACATATAATTCTTTCCACTTTTCCTCCATAAGAAATATATGATTTTAATATACGTTAATTTTATAGAAAAGTAACATTGCCAGCAGCACGAAACGGATACGGAGGGATTGAGTTATGTAAACTATTTAAAATATGAATAACCATAGTAGCATTAACAAAATTAGGCAAACTATTTTACATATCTGGGTGTGTAATCAAGTAATTTATTTAAATCCCATTCTGGCTTCATCCGGGGGGAATATCACTCCGTATTGAACATTTGAGTGAATTCATTATTTCTAATTCAAACCGGCAAATCTATTTTTTTTTCATAATTTCTATACATGTTTTAAAAACAAACTGTTCTTATTAACCATTCTTAGTTTGAAAGGTTCATCTTCTTCTATATATATAATTATACTTTTTTTTTTAGGAAGCGTGTTTTTATTCCCTTTTTAAATTTTTTAAGTTTCCTCCATAGTTATATAATATATATCATTCCTTCCCTTACGATTATGTCCATTGTAGTTTGCTCTCTATTACCGCTCTTTCCTTCATCATCGTAGCATGTACTATTATTGTGTTCCATGCGATCATATTTTCTACGTCCATATCCCCTAGTGTGTTGCCTCTTTTAAAATCGTCTTCTGCATTATCGTGTTTTTCTATTATTCCTTCCGCCTCGTCATTTGAATTTTTATAATTTTTATAGTTTCTATCACTTCTGAATATTGCTTTTATCTGCATAGATTTATCGATGAGTTTTAGCAAGTCCGATTTTTCCCGATCAGCACTTTTACGCTTGTAGGTGTTAGAAGACTTCAAAGAATTATTATCCTTTTTCTGTTTCTTTATGTGATGTCACATAGATGTTGTTGTTGTGTTTTAATATATATTCGATTTCTTCCTACCGCACTCTTTCATATTTTTCCATTGCGTTATGGAGTGTATGAA